GATGTATGGGTCATGTTTTTGGTTGGTCGATAAAGTCTGTTCTGCTGTATCACTCTTTTCCATAATAGGGCTCTTTTATTCTGCAGTGGCGACATCTGAGGGCGCAGACATATTTGACTATGCTGGTCTTAGCTAAACATCTCTCCTTGTGTTTGAATAACAAGAAAGGTAGGTATGCATGCAACTAGAGACGTACAATTGAAAAGCAGTATATCATGAACTGCGCAGCCAGCACTGAGTACTAGGATGGATGGCGCCTGATGTGTGGTTCTGGTTTATAATTTTTTTGCAATGCCGATTCTGTTTTTCTCTTCTTCTTCATACTCGTTGTCGGGTAGTCCATATTGGAGGCAGCCGATGCGCTAAATAATGCAGATCGAATGCAGCCCTTTCCCTTTTATTGGAAGCAGAGGCGGAAATCCTTGAAGCCCGTTACAGTTGTCATAGTGGTCCATTCGGTTGTACCGCAACAGGGCACTAACATATTGGTCAACGACATGCTCAACCAATTATTTGTCTTTGTGTGTTCGAATGGCACACTGAGAAGAACTGCAGCCAACTGGAGACAACCAGTGAAATATAGTATATAACGACCGATGCATGCAGCATGGTTGTCAAGTACTTACCGAGGGGGAACACGAATAGTTGGTTAAATTCAACTAATCCATCTGAGATTGACACAGCATCAGATTTGACTACTAGGTACCATGAAAATAGTGTTTCATGCCACAGCACCATATAAAAGGTGAAGACCCAAACGAAGAAATCGGCAGCTAAATAGAAAGAATAATATAAAAAGCTTTATTAAACAAGAATGTGCAGCCATTTCGGCTGACTGAGATCGGAGACGAAGCCAATAAATAGAACCCTTTTGCACAAGGGTTTTAAAATTAGTAATCAAGTAATCACCGCTGTTATATTGGATCCAACAAGGTGTTTAAAAATGCCTTATCGTCCTCAAGCATGGCGTTAACATGTGGTACCGTGGACCTAGCAATTAAATTTTAGGTGAATCGAAAGACCATAGATCTCTTCGACATGATCCCAGATTTGTTTAATTACCGTTGATGTTTTCGTAAACTCATTCAATAGATGTTCCTTGTGCCAAATTAGAAAAATTGTCCAAGATTTTAAGCGTTTATGTAGTGCTCTGGAACAATTTCTTAACATTATTTGGCTCGAGTATAACCAAGCTGTGTCCATACTCACTAAAAACACGTCGTAATGAAATAATTAGGTTAGAGCAAACTCAATATAAGTCAATAAGCTTTGCAGTTTTCTGTTTATTGACTTTTATAAACTCTTAATTGCACACTGCATTGCTATTGCATAGGCTTGGAAAAAAGCGAACTGCTAAGAGTGCGCATGTGGCTACCAGTAAGCATTCAGAAAAATTAGAGCTTGGTTCGTGGTAGCGATGGTATGAATGGGATGAAGGTCAAAGAAAACTGTTTACATGAAAAATTGACCCACAGAACATTCCACTTACACACCAGTAAGGACAAATAATTGGATACACACACCATCAGAATTAATGTATTTATTTTTTTAAAATATGTATGAATATCTAACAACAAACCTTTTTGTAATGAAAAATTGTTTAATACGACTTAATAAAAGATCATTGGCAAGCGCTTGAATCAAAACACTTAACCAACCAACTGCCGTCTCGGGCCATGCCCACATTTTTGGAAGATGTCAAGCGTCTCTTTGGTACTGATTGCCTTTATTCGCTTCTTGGTTGTGACAGAAAATGTAACCAGTCAGAAAGTATGTTGTGAGTCAAATTTAACCCCTTAGTCAAGCGAGCATTTTACAAATGCTCTTTGAAATACCATCCTGACCGCAATGACGATGCTAGAAAATCGATGGCGACAGAACAGTTCCAAATTATTGCTCGTGCTTTTTCCATATTGTCAAACAAAGATTCAAGGGCAGCATACGACGAGACAGGTTTGTGAAGTCAATAAGTTAGTATTTACCCATAGGCATTGTTGGTGATTCGTTTTCGGAAAAGTCTTTCGATGATTGGGTCGACTACTGGAAACTTATATTCCCGCCACTAACCTCAGAAAAGATTGAAGAGTTTAAACGTGGATACATCGGAAGCCAGGAAGAGCGGGAGGATATTGCGAAATACTACGAACTTTTCAGAGGTGATATGGATAAAATAATGGATTCCGTGATGTTTGCGGACCCAGTCTGTGAAGACCGTTATCGAGAAATCATTCAAGCGTTGATAGATGATAAAAAAGTCAAGGCGTACAAAGCGTTCGTAAATGAACCTGCAAGAAAACGGTCTAACCGCTTGAGAAGAGCCAAGCAAGAAGCGAAAGAAGTCAAGCGTGTCAATGGGAAACGCGAAGCCGATATATCGGAAAGTAAATCTACAAGTGAATTGGCCTCCGCAATTCAGGCTATTCAACAAAAACGTTTAAAGACATCCGAAGACCTTATCACCAAACTCACTGAAAAGTACTGTCAGCCTCAAAAGAGGAGACGTAATTATAAAATCTAGTCCCATGTTTCCATACCTGTCTATCTATGATGCATTTGCATTTAGTTTGACGCTAGACTTGCCCGCTACCGAACGCTCTTTGTCTGTTATATTTTTGCATTTTTTTTTACCACGGTTCAATGCAAGACTTAAGATATGTAGATTCAATATGGTTGCATTTAAGAATAATAGACAAACGTGAACAAAAAATACTGAGTCACAATTCCTTATCCGAAGTGTTTTCGAGCAAGTTGCTGCACTTTTTTAAGGAAAAATCCGGATGTGATTTTGGTGTTTTCCACAAAAAATGGGTTCATCGATAACTAGAACAGAAATGATTGTTACAAGCACTTACCCTAACATAAGCCTCGTATACTTCCTGAAAGAACGCGCGTATATGGTCCTCACTGTTTTCCTCATGCATAAAGATGAATCTTAGCCGTAAGAAATGTTAAGGAATATACAGATTGCCAATCGCAGATTGAAGCAGCGCTAAAGGTAGTGGGTTAGTGTAGACAATATGTCCGACTTCGGTGGCGGTAGTAATGAGTCCAAAAAGGATATCTGATGGGGTGACAAAAGCAGAAACCAGCCAATCGTTAAATTTGTCGACGATCTTTAGGTATGTGGAAGATGAACTCCACATATTCTCCTCGATCATATCAAGAGCGGCATGGGCGATAAACTGATTCAGGTATCTAAAATCAAGCTTCATAAATGACAATCGGAAGGGTTTTTTTACCTTTTGGTCCTGACTTTTCGTTGGCGATCCATATGATAGTTCGAAAAGTGGGTTGTCCTCCGGCCCAACAATGACAAAGTAGTAGGGGCCCCGCATAGGGGTTAGACCTCAAAATAAGTTGGCAGAAGTGAAGTACGTTAAAGGGAATAAGCACTTGTAAAGCAGTAGAAGAACTCAGTAAGGTGTAACAATGTACCACTTGCTAGAAAAGTGGACGGCGTCGAGTATTATTTGATCGTCTTCTGCTAATGTGAAGACGTTGTTCCTCTGCTAGTTTTGCAGTTCATTCCTCATGGCGAAAGAAAGCGAAAAAGACAGCACAAGACAAGACGGATTTATTAACTAAGAGGTTGTACAGAGAAATATTCAGCTGATTCGAACTAATCAAAGTCAAGGTTGTTTGAAACAAACCTAACAGAAAGTTGATAGCTGTTTGACATGAGCCATGGTAGCCAATGCGAGGGATATTCCGACAGGTAACCGTAACTGGCGATTTCGCATGCGATCCTATACCCGGTAGCGATAGATTTCCTGGATTCATACTTGTACTGTTGATAAACGCACGAAAGCAGCTTGACTTAAAAACAATGGTGCACACTTCAGGTGAGGTTGAGTTTCATTTTCTCTAAGATTTTTGATATCAAAGCCACCAAGAAAGTAATCTATAGTGTGGACGTTTGGCAATTCCGAGGTTGCCATGAGAAAAATCGAATACAACCGAATCGGATACAACAATTTGAATCCATCTCTTTGTCAAAAGGGATTTTACAAGTGCACATTTAAAGACAGCGGATTGGACATCCTTCATTACAAGTCGACCCCAGGATATTTCGACATAGGCGAATTGACAAAATCGGGGTCCTTAACCAACACAGGCTTGACCAGACTTCGGTTAGATTCAGCGTTGCTACCCCCCCTTTCCCGAAGTCTGCAACAGGAAAACATTTTGGAATAAGTATGGGTGAGATTTATTTCCATAGCTTAACACTCGCACATATGGTGACAAACTAAAGGCAGGAGTGGATGAGAAGCACTACATAACGAATGGCAGCTGCGTTCTGATAAAACCATCTGAATCCCAGATCATTCCCTTCTCCACTATTGACCACAGATTGGCATAATAATGACAAAGATTGAACTATCTTATTTGTATCACTTAGACCAACGAGTACCAGCTGCAATTTGTCTTGGTAATCCATCCAATGTTCCAAACTAGTGAAAAGATAGACACGCTTTGGAATTTGGACCTGTAGTGGTTTGATTGCAGTACAGTACAGACCTGCAAGTCAGGAGCCGGTAACAATCCGAAAACAGAGGGAAGAGAGGCAACAGAAGTCACGACCATTGACTAAGGTCAACTCAGCCAAGTGTCCTTTTGTGTGCGGATACCCGAGGGTGATGAACAGGAGATTGGTAACAGCAACCAATGAAAGTAGGAACGGAACATTGGGACCAATACATCAGCAGACAAGCTTCATTCACGCACGATCCCTGACAGTTAACTACAGGCAACTGCACCTGAAGAGGCATAATAAAGTCACCGAAGACGCTAGGGACATTAAAAGCCTGTTGACCTGCAAGTGGCTAGGGTATCTGCGACGGATGACGCAGCCGTAATTTAAAAAATCAACACTAACGATAGCCAGGCCTCTAGCAGTCTCTCGGTCCACTAAGCTGTCAGGTGCAAGGATAGGGAAATGTCAAAATGGAACTTTTATCGTAGGAGTCACTGTGATTGCAAGGAACTGAGGGCAACCCATTGTAGTGTGGTGTGAGTGGTGTGGCGTGGCGTCGGATTGGGGCGCAGACATGTTGGACCACGAAGAGCCTCAGCCAATCCCGTGTCTCTCCGCGATCCAATGGCATGCGGGAAACGAAGGCAGCCAACCAGAGAAGGACATGGATGAGATGCAGTATATAACGAGTGGCGTGGCCAGCGTGGTGGACTCGGATGGAAGGCGCCTGACGCGTGACTCTGGCTACTGACTGGTCAATCAAGCCAATTCCGCTGTACCAGTCTTTTACCAATTAGGGCTCGGGTATTCAACACAAGTATTGTGGTGTGGTGTGGCGACGGATCAGGGCGCAGACATGTTGGACCACCTGGCCGCAGCCAATTCTGTGTCCCTATGCGTTCCAATGGCGTGCGAGGAAGATAAGCAGCCAACCAGAGAAGGAAACGAGTATCGTACAAGACCTTTTATCGGGACACAGCTATTTTGGACCATGCCGGGCCCAGCCAATCCTCTTCTAGGTTTGAACGACAAGGTGAAGATAAGACTAGAAGCAAGTACATAGAAGCATTGCATAGTGGCAGTAATGAAAGTACGTGTTATCGAAACAGCGACTCAAATAGTCAGCTCTGACTTGTTGATGTCTGGTAAATTATGTCCGAAGTTACATGTTTTGGAATAAACTAGAACTCAATAAAGTTTATCACACTACTAACTGAATTTTATGCACACTTGTTGAGCGCTTTCTTAAGAATAATTCAGTTTACTGTTAAAGTTAGTTGGCTAACAAAATCAATTTTACTTCCGTTTATTATTTTGCCAAATATAACGCAAAATTTCGCTTTCTAAAGGCATTGAAAATACCGTTAAAATTGAATGTCGGTCTCAAATATTTATCACATCTGTGACGCCATTCTTTTGTCGTTGTAGCACTGCGTCGGGTTGCCATTGGTCCATGCATCTGCCATTGTAAGCAAATAAAGTGGCAGATTAATTAAAAAACAGTGAGCTGATTTTTTCTGCATTAAGATATTTTTAGATAGCTGAAAACCAAATCACCTTCAAATACTTTAAAATTCCAAGTTTTTTTAATTTCTTCATATATTCACGCAAGCAACATGTGTAGTGTAGCGGAATGACAGATGGCGGCCATATTGGTGACGGTGTTGGGCACGGCGTGGAGGCGGCATCACGTGACCGGTGG